GCAAACGTAGTAAGATTATTACAAAAGGGTGATGCAGCCCAGTTCAGGGGAGCGTGGTTTAGTCATAAACTGAGCATTTATGAGTAATGTGTGGTATGAGGTTTTGAGATAATGTAGAACAACATGTCGATTTTTGCCAAAGTATTTTAATGTGTGTCTGATTTGCCTTTTTTCCATCCTGCCTCAGAGGGATGCTGAAAACTAGGTAATTCATTTATTATTTATAGGCTGGACAACCCACATAGCAAAATGCGTATGGCCCGGATCTGGCCCATACAATGTGCTTACACATGGCCCACATACCGCAAAGAATGATGCCCCTTTGGTAGCCCAGATCTGGTTTGCCAGAGGTGGCCCACACATGGGCCAGCACAAGGCCAGTTGCAGACACACTGGTGGTCCTGTGCTGGCCCATGTGTGGATCACCTCTGGGCCACCAAAGGGCCGTCATTCTTTGCCGGTGAGACATTGGGTAAGTTGTGTGCATCCATGGGCTGGTTGCAGACACACTGCTGGCCCAGAACAGTTTCAGCTCTGGCCCCAGATGTCAGCCTAATGTGTACCTTAATTAAGCCAGGTAAAAACAACAAGTGCATAATAGTGCAAAAGTAACATGACAAAACTCTGTTCAGACAGTGAATGGACTGATTCTTATATAACATTTTTCAACTCTCCCAGATTACTCAAAGTGCTCTATACAACATGCCACATTCACCCAACAACACACTTTCTCTACACTGAGTGCTTCCTAACTACATTCATACACATTCACGCTCACGACATGCAGACTGGAGGAACCAGGGATCGAACCACTAACCTTCAGATCAATAGGTGACCTGCTCTACCAACGTGGGAAAAAAAAAAACTTGCAGCAAAGATGAGCCATTAGTTATTATAAATCTCTGCCTCTCTTCAACAGCGTGCCTTTTGTCCTGTCTCCCTCTCATCACCCCCACGGTCGCAGCAGATGACCACTCCCTACCTTTATACTGGAGGTTACTTCCAGTACAAAAGGAGTTTGTCCTTCTCACTGTTGCCAAGTGCTTGTGTTTCTCTGTATTATTGCAGGGTCTTAAAATATTAAGCGCACTGAGGAAACTGTTATTGTGATTTTGTGCTAATTAAAAAAAATAGTCTTACTATCCAAAGGAAATGCGCCAACTGTTGATCTGTGTTTAAAAATATTTGGTCAAAACTGCTTCCTGTTACACGACATGGAAACAGTTAAATATGTAGAGCACGCATCCATTTATCCAGGTCACAGGGGCACAGCAGCCTGTTCCAGCTGTGATGGGCCGAGAGGTGCGGTGCACCCTGGATATTCACACCTGCGGCCACTGTCAAAGGAAACCAGAGTACCCACACAGGCACAAGGAGAACATGCTGGTTTCACACGTTAAAGCCTCGGTCACTAATTTCAAATCCAGGTCCTCCTTGCTGTGAGGCGACAGTTCTAACCAGGAGAGTCACTCCGAGGTCTGCTTTAGTGAAACGTAGGCGGTAATAGTTCATTTGTTTATGAAAGTATTTCTCAAAACATTCCACAGAAATGTATTCACACTTGTCCCTCCTGTGTTTATTTGTCACTGATATTTTAGCTTAATGATTTCATTAAATTCTATGGAAAGGAATCTGCCGTTGCATCAACCGAGCTTCTTTATAAGTTTCACCTCACCGGTGTGTTTGGTAACAACACTGTGTCAACACAAGAGTGTCAAAACTTTCCTAAGAACTTTCAGCACAGTCCATCCACTTCCTCTCTGATTTATGTCGGTGTGTTTTTGTGCGACGTGTCATGTATCTGCACATTTTTTTAAAGTAAAACTGGACTGATTTTGCGCTGCTGCTGCTGCTGCTGCGAGTGTTTGTGTGTGTTTTGTCTGAGGAAGCTGTGTGGTTGGAGTGTCAAATCTAAAATACTTCCTCATCCTCTTGTGCTCGCATTAGAGCGACCTTCAGATGTCAGCAGCGTCTCACAGTCCACCTCGGCGGCAGACTGATCGCACATGTGACCGTTTTAACTCCATTTCAGGGGTTCCCGTATTATTTTATGCAAAGTGCATATGAAGCTCAGAAGTGCTGGGAGGAGAACTTTGGTGAGTATTTACACTTTTATTTCTTTTCTCTTTTTTTTGTAGACTTTTTTTTTTTCTCATTCCAACTCAGGTTAAGTTAGATTTTAAAATAATATATAGAAAAGAAATGAGGTGGATTACTGCAAGCGTTACCTGACTGATTCAGATTATGACTTACTTTAAGAGGCCATGTTTTGTTTTATGCAGCAGTCTCAAAAATGCAGAAAAGTTTAATCTAGAAGTGCCTTCTTGTCATTTTATCATCCTTAAAAGAAAGGATCTTAGTCGGGGCAGAGTTAAGCTGGTGGCATGCAAAGCTTTTTGTATGCCAGGCCAGATTTTCTGGTGCAAAGATGTAGAAATAAACCGCTTTCTTCCTTCATCTAGCTGCCCATTCATACCGAAAGTGGCTGCAGCATGTCGACATATATGTCAGATCTAAATTTTGTCAGACCCTTCACAAAACACATTAACATGGTCAGCGGTCCACACCTGTCTGAACACATCCTTTCTTTGTCTAAAAATGCACTGCAGCAGTTGTTTTACTGAAATACGTAGCGGTGTTTTTGTTAATCTCTCATCTAATAAAGAAAATTTGAGGTGAATGACTAAACTTTTAAGTCAGCGCACATATATGTCAACATCAGGCCTCCTCTGAAAGCTCTGTAAGCTCACTCGATGTTAAATCAAAGGCAAAGAGTTAGTTCTCCTTCATCCATAAATCTACACTGAGCGAAACAAATCATCAGCAAGTCAGCAGCGCAGACCTGATCTTATCTGATTTCCAGAAATTTAAATCAGTTTACTTTGTCCGTAATAACTACATAAGGAAGTAACTTTCAGTAACTAAATATCAATAAAGCGGTGAAATTACATTTACTAAACAGATTTCTGTTACCCGTACTTGAGGATTTGCACCTAGTTTATTTCTATGCATTACTGAAGTTCAGACTGAAATAATTTACTACCCCATTGTTTTTGTCTGATGCTGGGTTTTTTTAAAAGAATAAGATTGTACATATGAAAAAAAATATGAAAAACACCAAAGCGCTGCAGACGTTTTCACAGAGTTGTCACGTTTCTCTGTTCGAGGCGCAAACACGTTAAATTCATTCCATATTTTGCACAGAAAACATAATTGAAAGCTCAAAATTTAATGCAAACTTGCCAGAAGTTTATTTTTGTTTTTTCCTGTCCCGTATAATGATCTACACAGATTTATCATGCAACATTTAGGAGGGGCCCTCATGCCCCAGATTGGGAACCCAGTTAGGAAACTACCTAAATTCATAATATGCTGTTAAAATAAAAATAGCCCTACTTTGGTTGCAATAAAATAACATTTGTAAAGCTCAGCAGCACTTTTGTTTAAAATAAGTCAGGACGTGGGGCCGTTTTTCTATAGAACAAGTTATTTTTAAGTACGTTTTTGCATTTTACTACTTTTAATACAGGATAATTACTTTTTTTTATTGTTCTTCTTATTGCTACCTTTACCCAAGTAAGAGATCTGAGTGCTTCTTTCATCACTGTAAACAAGCTTAAATGGGTAACTTGGGCTTGACTATCTGGGAAGCTTCTTTCATTTTAAGAATTCACCTACAGCTCCTGGTACTACAGACAGGTGACAGGTTCAAAGAAAAACCAGAACAAAGACTCTCAGTGAGGTGTTTGGCCACCAGATAAGAGCCTGTGCATCCTGGTATTTGTTCTGTAAATCACTTGTACTCTTCTGGAGATATTTATCATCCATTCTTTGACTCATTTACCCATTATATAATAGATATTTGGTATTCTTCATTGCATATGTTGATGGTGGTGGTGCTGTCTCAGATGTCGGTCCAAGCTCTGCAAGGGCTCTTCAGCTGCTTTGAGATCCAGTTAGCACATAGCGTGTGACATTTTTATGCTCATCATGCTTTGAATCAGTGGCGTCTCTCTGGATGGAGGGTTCGTCGTATTGGAACAGACCACATTAGGATAAAGACGATCGCTCCAAATGCTTTGCATTGATTTGCACCTTGAACAGAGCCTCCAGCCGTCCACTCACTGCTGCTTTATTTAATTCGTCACCCATGTGCAAGTCCCATCAGTTAAACCATATTTTTGCTTCATTTGAAAAAAACGATTTTAAAGCTGCAGCGTTTTTTGTTTGTTTTTTTATTCGTGGTGTGATACCTCAGTTTCTGCACAGCACGCACATTTGTGCACTGAGTCATGATTTGTGGTGCTGTTAAGTGACATTTTCACAGCTCTGATATGACTCCGAATGTCTGAAACCACATTTGGAGAAAAGATGATGATGTCAATAAAAAATAATACTATTTCTAGCCTTCAGTGTTAACTAATGAAACAAAAAAAAAGTTTTTTTTGTGCATTTGTGCCTCGTAGTTGTTCCTAAAGCTTGTCTCAGTTTATCCACATCCACACCCTCAGGTGTATCTGTGCATGTCGTATAAGTATTGCACCCCAAATATGCATTTAATGTAACTTTTATGTTTAAAATTATTTACATTTGCAGAACATAAAAGGGTGAGAAGCAGCCTCATCAATAATTGTTACATTAATCAATAAATACACATTTTGGGTTGTTTTTTCTGATTTACTTATCAGAAAAACAGTTTCTGCTGAACAGTCTAACTCTGTATATGTATTTGACTTTCAAGCAGGAAACTATATAGAAAGTACACTTCTACTGCCCTCTTTTGGGTATTATAGACACAATGTGTAACCTGTTGGTCATTCACGTTGTTTTATGTCTTTAGTGTATTTTACTGTGTGCATAAAAAACATATTTTAGTTGCTTTATTTCTTACATATTTTTACAACAGGCTGTTTACATATATTGCATTTGAATTAACTTTATTTTCATTTTCTAGGTACCTTAAAAACAGGATTACAGCAAGAGCGATAGACCCCGGAGCAATGCCTCGTTCTTTCCTGGTGAAGCGCGGTGGGCTGCACCACCTTCGTCACGTAGCAAGAAGCCCCAGCCCTGGAGCCACAGCAGTAATGTTCAGTGAACTGGAAAAAAGGGCGGGAGCCTGGGACGCATCCCTGGAGTACACCAAACCGAAGACAAACGTTAATAATGCAATCGCCACTGTGTTATTACAGCAGGACTTAAAGTTCTGTAATGAAAATGGAAGCCGTCACCCATTCAGTCCTCAATCATACGGTGGGTGACAACGTCTTTTGTTTGTTTTAGCTCTCCTAAACTTTACACTTTTAAATGTGATCAGCAGCAGCTCTGTTTGGTCCAATAAAAGAACAAGGACCCAACTTTTTTTTTCCGTGTTAATTAAAGAAAAAAAAACATATTTTTCATATTTTTCAAAAACTGTCTGTCTGCTTTTCTTTTCAGACCACAGTTCTGCTGAGGCCTGCAGTCCTGTCAACGCAAATATTTTTAGCCAAGTGGAGAAAGTTGTTTCTCAGCCTCCCAAACCAGAAGTATTGTCGAGTCTTCAGGCGAGGTCTGGATATCCAGACAAACTGTCCGGACTGAGAGAGTTGGAGCACCATCAGATCCTGAGAGAGACCAGGAGCAGCAGCTGCTCTAAGATTAGTGCTCCAAGGCAGGAGTGCCTACTCTGTGGAAAGGTTACAACAATTTTTTTTATGAAGTTCCTGTTTTTATTTCATTTTGACTTTTTATTTTTACATTTATTTTCTATGATTTTTACAGAAGTACTATTTCTTTGGATTTTATTGCATTTTAGTTTTTTATTATGTACTGGGTATTAGTACATTATTATTATTATTATTATTATTATTATTATTATTATTATTATTATTGTTGTTGTTGTTGTTGTTGTTGTTATATTATTATTAAGGTTATTGTGTAATAATAATATTATTATATATCTATAAAGCTATCTTTACTTTAGACAGATCAACAAACATCCACCAGAAGACAAAGACTAAAAAGACATATATCATCAATCAATCCTTTTTCCCTTAGACTCCTGGTGCAGCATAGGGCCGCAAGACATATATTGTAGATTGTGTTTATTGTAGTCATTTTTACAACAAATAAAATATTAAAATGCACAATACAGTTATTTATTTATTACATTTCATTTTACAAATGCCTTTTTTCAGTTATTCTGAAGGTGATGCAATTTCTTTGACAGGTAACCTACCTGCAGCAGTTCCATATATTCATAAAAATCCTCCGAATGTCCTCCAAGAGACCCATGAACCATGAACTAGGCTCAACAATTTCAGTCATGTAAAAGTTTATAGACTGAAGAAACACAATATTAACTAATGAATACATCAGTGCTCCTTAGCTTCCTTTGATTGTTTGAAAAGTCTAACCTCTAATTAGCCATAACTTAAAAATTCCTCATTGATATGTTAAATTGTTGCAACTTGTCTTTGCAGATATTTTCATGTCTGTCAAGTCTGAAAACTCACATATGTAAGAGTCACAGAGGCAGAGCCCGTATGTCAGTGGCACACATCAAGTCCGGCAGGGCTGGTAATGAGCAGGCACCTTGCAGGGGGAAGGTCAGCATCACTTTGCCTTTAAATGCATTATTCTGTTACATCTTTGGATGTAAAATCAACCATTTATTGGGATAGAGCTTTGTCAGATCCATGACTGTCTGCTGTTTTCAGGAGCGGACATTCAGCTGTACGGTGTGTGGGAAAGTGTTCAAGCGCTCCTCCACCCTCTCCACTCACCTGCTCATTCATTCAGACACCCGGCCCTATCCCTGCCAGTACTGCGGCAAACGCTTCCACCAGAAGTCTGACATGAAGAAACACACCTTCATCCACACCGGTGAGTTGGTGCACTCCTACTCTCAGTAAAACAGTCTGGTGTTTTCTGCTAAAATGAGCACTACTAACATACGTGTGTATATTAGTATCCTTTAAGTTAGTCAGTTTGCCTAATATGAAATCTGGCTCATTAAAATTGGCATAAAAGTCAGACTGTAAAAAGGCTCATACTACTACCTGATGATGTGAAGTTTCCAGCACACGTAAAAGTACAACATTTTATGTTATTAATGACCTTCAGATCCACTACACGGAGTTAGTACATATGTAATTCCTTTATATGTCTTTTTATTCTCAGGCTCTACTAGAGTAGCGTTGATTTTGTTTAAATAATAAAGCTTATATTACATATATTCCTGGACTTTGTTGCCACCCTTTAGTTTATCCACTGTCTGAAACAAGCAGTTTTAGCACCATTTTAACCAGCTTTCTTGTGATTGGCTGCCCCTCAGATAGTGGGTGGGGCTTTCTGTGCTCAAAAGTGTTCATCTTAGATGACGATATCCTCTCTGCTTGATGTCAAACACATCGAAGACCAAAAAAAATCTGAGGTCTTTGCCCACAGGGATTATTATAGAGCACACTAAGCTCATTATTATCCACCTTTGTAAAAGCAAAACATATGAAAGAAAGGAAAACATAACAGTTCCCTTTGATAAATGTTTTAACCTTAGATTCTAAACCTGATTGGTTAGTTTTTGTGTCATATCTGGATTCTGAAAGCAAGCAATAACAGCGTTCAATCCTCTCTGTTTGTCTGCCAGGCGAGAAGCCCCACGTGTGTCAGATATGTGGCAAAGCATTCAGCCAGAGCTCCAACCTCATCACCCACAGCCGAAAGCACAGGGATGACAGGCCCTACCACTGCCCACGATGCCTTTACAGCTTCCAGCATAAAGTGGACCTGCGGCAGCACCAGGAGCAACACTGCGCCTACCGCTGATTCTGCCCCACTCCAGACTTTAACCTTCTCAATGAAGAGGAACAGGAACTGGGATCTAAATCTTTGACTGTGTTGTTCCCAAGACAGCGTTTAATATTTCATGCAAAGCTGTGTACAGTGTTGGAGGTGTATTATACACCACAGGCATTGTGGTAGGGTGTGTTGAGTCTCAGCAGTGTAGTGAAATGACTTTATTTATGTGAAGGAAAGTACAAAAAACGGTACTGGTTACAACAATACTTTAATAATTTAAATTGTAAATGCAAAATACATCCTCAGTCAGTGCATTTGATTTAACTGATGCTTATTTTTCAGGTGTACTTAGTGATATCGAGCTATTTGTTTTTTGTTTTGTTCCTTTCCACATACTGAGGAATATAGTTGTACAGGAAAAATCACAGCACTGTTAATGCATCTTCTTTATAGCTTATCAAAAGTCAGAGTCACTATTATTATATTAGTGATCATTATTATTATTTCAGTTAAGCTGTGTTTAGACTTTAATTCTTGTGGACGTGTGGTGTGTTTTCCAGTGTTTTTGTATTAACGGGACACCAAGTATGAGACTCCCACTGATGAATTATTCCTGGTTAGAGTTGATATTCAGAGTTATTGTTCAAATATTAATAAAAGCAGTGCTGTGTGCAACAAAAGCTGAGCTCTTAATATAGTATAATGTTGTGTACATGTACTCTTAACTTTGTAATAATTAAAAAAAAATTGAAGAAGAAAGAAATATTGATAGGGAATTCTTTTGAGTTTATTCGTTTAAACATTTGCTAAAGTAAGGTGTATTGTCCAAAGACAGGGTCTGATAAACACCTCCTACTACATGGAAAAGAGGATAAAGTCTGAATAAGTTAAAGTAGTACAAAGAATTTTACTGATCTCAGTTTGTCCGTCAAGCAGTAATGTTTGATACTACGAGTGTGGTTGGAGCTTTAACTTATCTAAACTAAGGCTTTTAAACTTAGAGGTGAGTAGTAGAGCAATAGTTTTAATTTTCTTTGTTGTACTTGATCAAGGTTTTAACAGTTAACTAAAACCAAATTAAAACTAGATGTGCAAAAAAACATTTCAATTAACTTAAAAATAAAAACTAGGCTTTACTTCAATACCTTTGGAAACCTATAATTAAATACAGCTAAAATAAAAAAATTAAAAAATAGAGAGGAAATATCCTTAGTTGTAATAATTGTTAGTTTGATATAATTTTATTAAAACTTGTGTGTCTATTGAGACTGTGGAGACTGACACTGAGCTAATAAAAACTAAAGATAAACACACTGAAACAATAAAAACTCAACTGAAACCAGAAAAACCCGATCAGGAAACGAACTGAAACGAAACTGAACCAAAAGCAAAAGCAAAAAAAATCTAAATGAAATGAAGATAAAAACCTAAAAGATACAAAACTATGATAACTCTGCACTGGATTCAGGGTAACATGACTTAAACATGGCACACTCAATATACAAAGGTCAGCAGCCCCTCCTATGTGGCATTGCATAACTGCAAAGGTTACACATTTGTTTTAACTGAAGCCAAGTTATCAAGTTTTTCCTCTTGTACAATTGATCCCACATGAGTCAGAGTGAATCAACATTTCAGCCTGTTTGGGGAAGTAAACTCTGGCATCTGTTCAAATGGTAAAATAATTCATTTAATTTAATTTTACTCAATTGTGTTCAGAAGATTTCTTCACACCACACGTATCCGACTGTTGTGGTAATTTTGTTTTTATTGAAACCGAAAACAAAAAATACAGACAACTTTATCTAAAGTCATGAATCATCATTTTTGTTCAACTCTTTGAATCAACGCTGACAGCCTACACTTCAGTCACATACTAATCTGAATTTCAGTGGGGTTGTATACAGAGGCAAAACTACAAAATCTGTTTTTGTCCAGCAAATTATGGACCGAACTGTATAAAGTAAGTACTTAAAATTAACATGATGTTGTTCATACTTAAGAAGAGATCTTTACCATTTGGTTATGCATGGCATGCAAAGATATTTCAAAATTTATATTAGTATGTTATAGAAATAGGGCAGTAAATAACGTCTCTGCAAGCCTCCCACTGGTCCTAACATGCGGTCAAAACACCCTCAGTGTTAAATTGTGCAAGAAATAGGAAGTGATGGACGACGACCCTTTGAACTTTTACGGTGCTTCTGAAACATGGTTTAATTCCTGGGCAGTTCCTTGTATTTCAAAACGAATGCTTGCAAAAACACTATTAGCAATATTGCCACAGTGATCAGCATATGTTTACAAATGTTTTCATTTCATTTTTGAGATTTTTTGAGATTTTCTAGTTAATTAAAAGCACCTAGGCCAAAAGAGAGCGCTGTGTAGCTCAGTGGAGCCTGGAGATGCACCTCTGTTTACACACAAACACACACACACAGGCACAAAGAGAACAGTAGTTTGAGTGATTTTGGCCTGGGTTTATCCTTTTAGAATGTCATGTTTCTGTCATAGTTATCTCCACCAAGGAGGTTATGTTTTTGGTAGCAATTGCATGTGCATCATTCTGTTTCTACACATTCTGTTTCTTTGTCAGGGTGCAGATTGAGGTTATGTTATCAATTTGTTCAAATTTGTCTTAAAGCCACCAAAGTCTTAAAAGTCAACTTCATGATTTATTGGCTGAAAAATAACACAAAAAAAACTACAACTTAGAAATGATTCTTACAAGTGTCATGTCTATTATCATATAGAAAGTACTGTGTAAAATTTAAAATATACTACATTTGACCTTTGACCTCTCGTTGAAGGTCAATAGAATGATTCAAAGGTCAAAATGAGACATTTTTAGGTTATTAAAACTGGCTCTTACTGCCATTGTTTGTATTGGAAAAAATGGGGAATGCTCTATGACAGCGGTCCCCAACCCCCGGGCCACGAGTCGTTTGGTACCGGGCCGCGAGAGTTGAGGCTCGGGTGTGAAATTTATGGTGTTCAGCGTTTTTATCGTTAACTCGGTTTCCCTGGGTCTTTTCCCGAGTTGTAGTTGTGTGTCTTATTTTGAAAGAAATATCTACACGTTACCATAGCGACCAGAGAGCATTAAGGGGCAGAGAGGAGGATGTTACTCTCAATGTTGTTGGCGCATTTCAGGAGGACGCTGCTAATAAAGTTACACAATTACACAGTGAATTTGCATTTATTAATATATTTACAAAATACTACAGTTTTTGTCTTGGTCGTGTCATTTTATTTTGTTGTATTTATCCACGACACCTTAAAGGCCGGTCCGGGAAACTATTGTCTGACATTAAACCGGTCCGTGGTGCAGAAAAGGTTGGGGACCGCTGATCTATGAGGATTTTAACTATCACGTTATGTTATTTTGACTTTGTTATTACTTTTTTTTAACCACATAAAGTTGTGTTAAATATATTTTTCAATTGATTTTTATTACTAAACGGGTGAAATGAATATTACACATGTATTATAGCTACATAAATTATAAAATATATATAAACAAAACTCTACCTTAGTCCTGTCTGGGATATTAAAATGAATTTAAATGGGTCAAATAACAAAACCTGCAGTTTTCACTTGCTTTTACTGAACTACAAACATAAAATAAAAAATTTAAAAAAAAAAACCAGGTAACAGCTGACGGCGAGGCACACACACAGGCGCCATGTTGACTATCTGACATCTCAGAGCAAATTTATAAAGAAGAAAGAAAATGAATCTAAACAAAATATATTCCTATAAAAGTAAATATGACTAACAGAGTTTTGTAGTTCTAATGCATTTCTGAAATCTAAAAGGAGTCATCTTATCCATATTGTCAGCTAGCCAAACAATCTTTTTTTTGTTATAAAGATATCTGAGACCTGCTGGAGTCTCGAGCTACTTTTATTTTTGTTAATAAATGCTTTATAAAGCATAAATAGTCCTCATTTGACATGAGCTCACGCAAAATACTTAATTCACTTGTAACTGCCTGAATTAACCATGAATTACAATATGAAATAACTATTAATGAAACCTTTATCAACACACTCACAAAAAGCTTATAAAACTTTATAAATGCTCAATTAACTGCTTATTAATACCTTACTAATGCTTAATAGTGTGACATTATTATAAAGTACTATATGACTCACTCAAAACAAAAGGATTCATAAACTTCCAAAAACTCAAAGCCCGGGTCCAAAACCTCAGCTTTCATGCACTCCCTGAGCTCAAAGAGAAGGGTTAGCGATATAAAACCCAATAATCTGATCTCTGGCTGTGCAGCGCCACCCTCTGGTTAAACTGTGTTTTTGCAAGGAAATACACTGTGCTAGCTGTACCGATCAAATGTATTACTGCAGCTTTGTCTGTACTCTTACCTGTAATTCATTAATGTGTGATATTATGTGCACATTTATTTAAAGCTAGATTTATCTTATGTAAATGTAATCATTACAACTCAAGGTTACTTAGCATATTTGATACATGTGGTATTTTTTGTTTAGTTTTTATAATTTGTTTTGTTCAGTTTTTTTCCTAGTATAAGTAGTTTGAGGTATACTAATATTTGTGGGTTTTGTTTTTTGGGGAGTTATTTGTTTGTTTGGCTGGTGAAGGAAGTTCAGTATTAAAACTCTTACTTATTTAGAAACTCCCAGCCCACAGAAGTCCAAGGTCTATGTGTGGATGGACTTTGGTTTTCTCCTCTACAGCACACAGAAACAGAACTCTGACACAGACTGGCAAAACTACAGGGTTTAATTACACCTCTCACTCTAATAGCACTGGAGCAGCTTCTGTATCAAATAAATGATCACAACCCAGATGCCACCTTAACACCACTGCAATTAAAAACCTTTTATTATTGTTGCACAACTCTTAATTAGTGATACAGCATAATGAGCTCTGCCAACACCCTCATTTGCGTCGTGTTTATGTGCTGCTGCTCTCCCTCCTGCAGACAGAAATACAGAAGTGTGCTCCATGTGCAAGTTCCAGTAAAACTACTGCACCAGTAAGGAAAGCAGATATTGGCTATACAATCCACCAAGGTCCTTGCGACAGGACAGAGATGTTTTCAGTGTCTCAGAATTAAATGGGATGAATGTAAAATGACGATAAGAAGTGCTCCAAACAAAAAACACTTAACTGAACCTGTCCAATAACCTGTAAAAGCCCCTGAACAACGCCCCGGATTAATCCAATCTATACACATAATTATGTTTAGTTATTTTTTTTAATACTGTACATAATTCGTTGTTTTATGGTTTTCTCAGATGCACTAATTGGCTTAAACCTGTAGATGGTGCTGATGTCTTCTACAGAGTAACCACGAAGGAATGAAACAGAAACATGTTTAAACAACAGCTGCCGTGTTTCAGGGCTGCTGATACTCTTTGATAAATTCTTAATGGTTCAATGAGTCACACTAGGACTCCAAGTCTGTCTTTGAATTTGACACCACATACAGTCCAGTGGAAAATATTTGGCCCATTCTTGATGTCCTAAATTTTGTTTACACATTTTCACTATCCATCCATCCATCCATCCATCCGTTCATTCTCTTCCACTTATCCTTGTCAGGGTCACGGATGGAAGCTGGAGTCTATCCCAGCTGGGCGAGACACATTTCCACTAATCAAACAAATGTTAATATTAAACAGATATTAATTTAATGAAATTTTATATTTTATTTATATAGCACCAAATCACAAAAACCGTCCCTCCAAGATCCCAACAATGACATGGCCCCCTTTAAACAAACACTTGGCGACAGTAGGAAGTAGAAACTCCCTTTTAATAGGAAGAAACCTCCGGCAGAACCAGCTTCAGGGAAGGGCAGCCATCTGCCACGACTAGCTGGGGGTGAGGAGAGGAAGACGGGACAAAAGGCATGCTGTTGAAGACAGGCAGAGATTAATAATAACTAATGACTCATCTCTGCTGTAAGGTTTTTCCATTTGTGGATAAAAGCTCTCACTGTGGTTTGCTGGAGTCCCGATGACCTAGAAATAACTTTGTAACTCTTTCCAGACTGGTTACAACTTTGTTTCTCATCTGGTTTGAGTTTCTCTAGATTGTGGCATGATGTGTTGCTCTTTCAGATCCTTTCGCCTACTTTACATAGTCAGACAGCTTCTATTTCCATGATTTTTTCATTGAACAGGTCTTGCAGTAATCAGGCCCAGGTGTGGCTGATGAGACTGTTTTGTTGCATAATCTTTATCAAAAGTTTTTTCCTGTCACACAGACTGGCGAGGTGTTGGTGCTGATGTCTCTCTGGGTTCACTGTCTCAACAGCTGCACTGTGAAGCCATAGCTACTTTAGTGTTTTCCTCTGGAAAGCTTTTTGCAGCGTTCATATGATGGACTTTACACAGTAAACAATCTGTCAGATCAGGTTATTTATTGTCAGCATGAGGAGAAATGGGTCAGTTTAAAGTGCAGAAGCATGAGAAAACATGCTCATGGGATTCTGTTGGTCCCAGCAAACGTGTGTGACCTGTTAAAATCAAGTTGCATAGATTTTTACACCTGTGTTTTCTTTTCTTTCTTTTTTTTCAAAGAAACACACAACAGACATCTATTTCATTAACGTAATTTCAATAAATACAGAAATTAATTTACCAATGACATTTTGACTGAAGTCTATGACCTCTTAATGAAATAGCATTCATTAAAAATGTTAAACATGCAGCACAAATCTACTTTTTTGGGCCATAAACTAGTCATTCTGAATCAAAAAAGAAAAAAAGACACCCACGAGTGTTACGGTCACTGTCCTGGGTCAGTGACCCAGTGTTTTGGTTTGTTTCATTATTATTATGATCAATCTTTGCTTTCATCTTGGTTTATTACTACCAGTGTTTTGGTTTTTTGTATTTTGAGCTCCCTCTGTTCTGTCCAGTTTGTCTCTGTGCCTGTCGTGTGCTCCCTGTTTTACTTTGAAAGTCAGTGTCTCATGTCAGTGTTTCTGGTTTTGCTTCCCTTGTCTTGTTAAGTCTGATTTCTCCCAGCTGTGTTACCCTCCTGTCCCCCATTCTCTGAGTACTCCAGTATCTATTTAAGCCCTGAGTTTTTCTTGCTCTGTGTTGTGTTGTAGCCTCATTTTGCTGTGTTTTTCCTGTCTTCCCAGCCTCTGTAGCACCTAGTTTTTTGGTTTCTTGTTTTTTAGTTCCCCGAGTCCCTGGTTTGTCAGTTCTAGTCACTGTACTTTGTCTTTTGTTTTCTGTGTTTCCCACAGAAAACTAAGCTGCACTTTCAGGTAATCTTCCTTCTTTTGGGTCCTATCCTGCCTGCCACACAGCACATCCTGACCATTACAGCTGTAATAGTGTCACACAGTGGAAATTTGTATTTATCTTGTATATTGATTTTATTCTGATTTTGTGTTTATTTATGAGTGTAATTTTTACTTGCATGATTTTGTTTCTATTGGATGGTTTTTAGTGTTTTATTTGACATGGTTTTAATCCACTGTGGACTGGCAGAGCATGGGATATATTAGTTGATAGGGATCACCTGCGGAGGCATGGGTGTGTCCAGTGTCCTATCAGCTGTTTAAATTTAATTAAAAGCAGACTAGCCGAGCACTGGGAGGAGAGAAGCCCCAGATATGAGGAGGAATGTGTGAAGGCCAGGTGAAAAGAGGGACCCGCTGCCTGATCGTGGGGGTGCGACACCTAATCTGGAGACTTACTGGTCAGTGTGACGTGGCGACCCAGTCCTGACAGCAAGGAACGGCGACAGTAGGAGACAACACGTGTGATTGGCAGCAGGGCAGAGGTATACCTCTGCCTGCATTTATGAGTAGTGTCTACACTGTCGTTCATCGGGTGCAGTCGTGTTGGGTGAGGGTCGCCATGGCTATAAGTCAGGGCAGCTTTGGGACCATTGTTCTGGCCCCTATTTATTTATTTACAAGGCACTGACGCGAGGGGAGCCGTGGTGGCATCGCATGACGGACTCCGGTGCAGAACGCGAGCTGGGATGGGATGTGATGGGCCCAGTGAAGGGACAAGAGAAGGATGGGAGGCTCCTCCTCGTCTGCCTGAGACTAGGCTGGCATGGACTCCGCTCTGGAGAAGAAATTCCTGGCCTGCTGGTGGACCCATAATGAACATGTGGCATAATTACATCAGGGGATTCTTATGAATGTAGAAAATTATAGTTTTAAGGGGTTTAGAATTGTTTTATTTAGTCTCCATTAGGATTTTAGTATACTGACAATATTTTATTACATACATTTTTAAGAGGTTATTATTATTATTATTATTATTATTATTATTATTATTATTATTATTATTAATTATTTATTTATTTATTTATTTATTTTTTCTGCTTCCTGGCCTGGAAAGAAACTGTTTCTGATCAGACCTCCCACCATCTCTGTGCCTTGGGTTTCTGATGGGTTTGCTCCCTCCTTGTATTCTAGAACCATCCTCATTTGTATTACATTCTGGCGCGACTGCTTTAGTATCTGCGTTACAATAGAACAAAACGGACATTTTTAATACGCAGTCACATTAAACACTATTAGACAGTCTCTTTGTTCGTCTCTCTTTAGTGTGTCCGCTTCCTGCAAAATTCAAACAGAATGGAAAATTTTGTTTTGTGCAGACATTTTTTTACTTTCAGGCAGTTAACAATAACATGATCAGACATGCACTCATAGCACTAATATGTAGCAAAGGCGTCTTTTATCATCATCATCCTCAGTAACGAGTGTTTCTTCCTTATTGGTTTTTCCTAAAAGAAAGAAATCTTATTCTCTTGAACTGTTGCTTTTGAGTGCACAGGACTGATAAATAACATTCATTTGATAATTGGGTGGATAAACATACTGACCAGCTGATTAATATGTATAGTACATAATGGTACCACTTTGTATGCTGGATCTAAACTTAGCCAAGGTTTAAGTTACTTTATAAACACTAAAATCTGAATGAACTTTAAGTTTCAATGTCAAACTCTCTGTTGCAGCTATTTGAGCAGAATTCATTCCTTTCTGCACTGAACTATGCAGATTTTAAATGTGACCTCTACATTAATAGAATGATCCAGAGTATAAGACATTTCCAAAAGTAATTTCCAAAAGTAGTGATGAACCTTTGATGACAGAACGCTGGCTGCGGATGTCCTCTTATTCGCTGAAATGCTCCCAGGTTCTTATTTCTGAAAAGAAGGCGTCTCCAGGGCAGGCGGTGTAGTTCACTACCTGTCTGTGGCCATGGATGGTGAAATTGGAAACCAGTCCTCCTCCGTGTATAGCACATTGGACAAGTCGATGACGTAGCAGGTCCATGGCATAGCGAGATGGCAGGGTGGCAGTGTAGTTACCGATGATTGACACGCCATACCCAATGGCATTGTGTCCCCTGGTGTGAGTGCCGAGATGATGCCAACCCCTACCCTCATAAACGTAGCCGTCAGACCCGACCACAAAGCTGAAAGTGCAAAAATATGAGAGCAGGTGATCAATGGATGAGGTGGATGGTTACTAGTCTGCAGACAAATAGAACAAAATGCTGAGAATTTATATGTGATGAATTTTCAGCAATACAGTGTTTTAACAGCATGCAGTTAGCATTCCTGAAAATTCTCCCGCTAATAACATAGATATTAAATATGGCTACTTAAATGAATGTTTTGGCATTTTAGGAATTTTCTGTTGTAGGTTTTTTTTTTTTTTTCGAATCATCACTCCCATGTTCATTTCCTACCACTTCAAGCACCTGTAAATCTCACAATTTACAAAAATAAAAGTATAAAAACAAGACTTTGTTCAATTAGAAGAATTATTTTTGACAGAATATGACCAGAATTTGACATTTTTACAGGAAAGACAAACTATAGTGATTAGTTTCAAAGGTCGCTAAAGAGTAGGCAGCACCTGTCTACAGCAGATCCATATTTTGAGGCAGTCACAGTTGTATACATCTGTTCAACTAACAAACACTGCAACAACGTGTAAAAACACATTTCCCTAGATTTCCAATGATTCCTTTAAAGTTTTGTTACCTGTATCCGATGTCAGCCCACCCACGGTCCTCCTGGTGGAAACGCTGCATGGACCTCATGTCACGAGAACAGCTTGGGAAGGATAAACAGGGTGATGATGGCTCATAAGTATGATGAATGTACAGATACTGGAGGGGAAGAGAGAGCGGGATAGGTGTACCTCGGTGGGGCTTTGCCCCCCACTGACAGCGAGGGATGATTTGAGGGCAGTCTGTGGGTAGGAGGAGACAAGGTGAGGATTAGGAAAGTAATAACACTCCAGACCTTGATAGGCTGCAATAGAACATATGGGCTAGTGTCTGAAAAAGGTCTTTGTGACAGCTCACAAATAATAACTCAGTTTGTCCAGCATCAATCAGCTTATTACTTAAACAAGGTTGTTTTTCCAACTGTTTAAGCCCAGTGTAGTGCACACAACATCTTTCTTTAAGGTCTAAAATCTGTCAATGCTTTTACCAGATGACTGCTTGTGGTTGTTGCAGTTTTTTGGAAATGGAGCTTTGACCTTTGAAACATCCGAAACGTGGGAGTGATGTTTGAAAAACGGATTACAGTTTATAGATAATGAATATAGCAGAGGCCTGCCAGAACTGTTCTGACAAATGTGGGACATTGGACAGTTTTGCAAAGTGAAATTTGCTTAGAAGGAGGATGGCGTAATGTTTGCACCAGGAAGGACTGTGCAGTAAGTCCTTTAGAATAATCTCATGAAATTGTTGTCCACACACTTAATTTTATCAGAGCCAAAAGTCTGAATAATTTGCAAACTTACAGAAATTACATTTCCCACACCAAAAGCAAGGCAGCTAAGCCAAGCATAGACGAATTCCTTTGTAATAACATTTGACTGAATGTGGAAAAACTGAAACATACTTCTTTCAGTCTGTTTTGTAAATGGACTGAAATGTTAAATGTTAACATTTCCAGAATAAAATTGAGCTTCCATGACAAAAAATTTGAATGGTTTGTGTCTTTTTATTCATTTTAAAGTTGAGCCTTTAAACTAAAGTATAAAGTATCAATGGACCACAGGACCAAGATGACTGAAAACTAAAAAAAATACTATAAAAGAAATACCTCTTCCTCTATGAGGCCTAACTATTTAACGGTGGATTTAATCCAATCTCCACGGGCATACTGATCACAACATGCAATTGCAGTTAAAAACTTCATAATGAGTTTCATAATAATGTTGGTAAAAGCCTTGCACTATTTCAGTGCTGGCTTTCACTTCAAATTGATTTGTTTTTTCCCCCCGACTGGCCAGCAGCCAAAATACACAAATGTTAACTGAAGTTAAAGATAGTTAAGTAAAAAATATTTTGTTTGTTTGAATTTACAAGGTTTTTACGAGTTCATGGTGACATTACTGTTTAACCTACTGTGACGTTATCCTCTTTAGATCCTTATCAAAAATATTTGTCTCATAAACAAAAATTTAATTCTGATTATTTTTAACCGCAAAGTTTGATGAAAACATCCAGGTTCACTAGACTCTTGCACAAAAAATAATGATTAAATGTCTTCATTCATAGCTCACCCCAGTACTTCTTGACAAATGTCTCCAATCCATCTTTCACCGCCTTTCCCACCCCAGTGTCCATAGAAATCCATTCTGTGTTCTCCAGTTTCCAGACCAATGCTAGTGTCTCCATCACCTGGCTGTGAAGATCAACAGACTCTAGGATGGATCTAGAGAGCTCCCTCCTCCTCGGGCTAATCTGACTGCTCACAGCATCCATGCCCTGCCCCTCACTCAGAGTAAAATTGTAGTATCCTCTCAGAATCTGACTGAGGGCCTGTGGCTGTTCAGATGCAGTTAAATTGCTGAGGTCTGTGCCCAGTATAAGGCCATCCATGCCCCCATTGATCATGGCATCGGTGGCTAGAGTGGCAATCTGAGACAGTTTGAACACCCTGGGGTGATCCACGTTGTCCCAGCACCCGTCAGGCCCCAAACGGTGAGATGGTGGGAAGTCCTGGAGGCTGAGAAATGATAAGCCCAGTGTCCTGCCTAAGGTAAGAGGGAAGATCCCAGCTGCTGCCACCTCTTCCATCTTGGCTTTCAGTCCTGATTCAATTCCTAGTAATAAGGGTACAAGCGCCACCGTAGTTCCATCTCTTGTGAGAACCACCCCTCGTTCTTCTCCATGGTCCGTCACAATGTGGTGGATGGCCTTGTCAAAAAAGCTGAAAGATGAGGCGTTGAGAATGGCCGTCTCCAGGAGGTCAGCATCGCTGAGATTATTGGAAGCGCCCAAGAAATGGATGGTCATCAAGTCATCATGGCCTGCAGTCCTCCGCAAGGCCCTGACCAGAGCCAGGGGGGGCAGACCAGGGTTGGAGTGTTCAACCTGCTGCACGGCTTGAATAAAGCCTTCCATGTTACGCAGGTGGACGCCTGACAACGACACAAGCCGAGAAAAGTGCATTAATCCCTCAGTGAATGAAATGTTCAGTTACTTCAGAATGAAACAGTGGTCCTTGCTCAATATTAGTGTAAAGCCAGTTTAGCAAACCATTCATTTATCTGTCTTAACAGCTTATGCAACTTACAGGCATTAGAGTCCGTCTGAGGTGATATAGAGTTCACATCAGCTAAGTTATAAACTGAGGATTAAAGAAGGTGGAAACTGATAACACGACAACAGGTTGTTGCCCTATAACTAGCATGATTTCCTCACATGCTATACAGATGGGAAAGAACTATACCAACACTGAGAGAATCAGTGGAGGAGCTCAAACATACAGCTGAAGCAATGTACATTTAAGATCAGGCATTAGACACACTTCCATAGTATACTGAGTTTGTGCCACCAAATACAGAATATGTCTTTGTCTTACTCTTTTAAGACCTATATTTTGGGAACAGTTGAATAGCCTTTCTAATTGATCAGTTAATAACCCAATACTTAAAGAAAGAGGGAAAGTGTTTTTTAGTTTGAGAAAGAAAGGAAAGAGAGAAAATTCCCAATTACAGATAACAAGGAACAAGTGAGTCAAAACACATCAGGTTGCCCAAAGAGAAAATATTCCTTATCAACATGCCAAGCAGGTACACTGTGGCCTGTAATGGAAATTCTAATGCAAGATAACCGAATGTTTGCATGTTTTAAATAACTGCGCTTACCTGTCGGCCTGCTGTAGACAGTAACAAGGTAAAATAAAGTCAGAAGAAAAAATGCGAGTCCACAGAAAGCCATTCTGCATCTCCCGGTTAGTGCTTCTTAAATCGTTTTATTGTTTTATTTTTATTCTTGCAAAACAAATGAACCTAAACAGTAAAATATGAAAGAATCTCTGCAATAATCCAAAATGTGTGGCGCTCCCTCACTTGTCTAGGTGTATTTACGTAGGTGTACGTGCATGACAGCAGTGCTCTGTCTCAAAGGGAAGAGTACTCTCTGTACACAGATGACCCCAAATATTGATTTAACCAACAGCACATCAAAGAGCAAAATTTCTCTTCAATTTATTTCAGTTTTCATCACAAATTTCTTTTATTATTATCATTATTATATTATTTATGTTACACTTTTTTTTTTACTTCATGCAGTTTCCTTTGTATATGCCTGGACAAAAACAATAGAAGCGAGGGATAAAGTCAGTTATGGTTAATGTTTACTGTCCCCTGTAATATGTACGTCTGCTATGTGCCGGGAAACAGCTTAGTCACATGAACAAACAAGTAGACGTGGACTTGGCGGCAAAAAACAACACAAGCTGATTTGGTTCGTATTGTATGGTTATTTATACAATCATGTACATTTAGGTTAAACCAAAATCTTGAATTAACTTTCTAACTTAACTTTTGATAGAACATAATGCACAGATGGAAAACTGGGTAAATATTGGAATAATTCAAATAATGAATAAACTGCTTTTTCGTGGAACAACTGAACATTTAGGTTATTGACTACAAGTCCTACACACACACACACACACACACACACACACACACATATATATATATATATGTACACTTTATATATATTTTTATATATATACACTTTGCAGTCAAATTAGCTAGCTACCCCGCCAAAAAGCAATAAATTCCTCGTGGGACTTCGTGGACTCCGTAGCTGTGAATCGATCGGTGAGATCATGTGACAAGTTACGTTTTTAATAAACAGGAAGTACTCAAACCTTAACAACGCAGGTGTAGGAAGTGATCGGGTGAGTGTTGATAAAGCTGAGTTGAGAGACACTAATTTTAGTAACTGAATAATTTTCGTAAATGTCATCTTTGTGTTTCTCGCGTGCCTGTAGCACCTTGGTTAGCATGAGCAGTTAGCCTGTAGTTAGTTGCAGCCTCACTAA